AGGCTAGGAAAAAAGCAGTGGGATCCCTTTATTCCCTTATGAGGATCCCCTTCTCTGTGACCTGTGTGTGTCTTTCCCAAGAGGTGATACATGAAGGAATTTTGGGAGCCAGTCTAGGAAAAGCAGCAGGGTCCCCTTCTCTGTGACCTCTCCGTGTCCCTCTCAAAGGGTGGCATGGGAAGGAATTCTGGGAGCCAAGCTAGAAAAGAAGGATGGGTTCCCCTTCTCCTTCTCAAGAGGTGACATATAAAGGAATTTTGGGAGCCAGGCTACAGAGAAGCAGCAAGATCCCCTTATTGCCTTGTGAGGGGTCACATCTCCGTGTCCCTCTGGGAAGGACCCTCCAGCACCAGCCAGGTCATGGCTGTGTCCCTGTCCCCTGTCCCATTTCCCAGAGATGCACCCAGCCCCTTGTCGCTGTCCCCTCAGGGCCCTGAACCGCTGCAGTGTGGAGGTGTACAAGAAGGTGGGGACCCTGTACCCCGAGATGAGCGTCCACGAGCGCTCCCTGGACTTCCTGATCGAGCTGCTCCACAAGGACCAGCTGGACGAGACTGTCAACGTGGAGCCTCTCACCAAAGCCATCAAGTACTACCAGGTGACACTGGGGGTGACACTGGGGGCAGGTGCCACCTCACCTGTTGGATATCCAGCCCTTGGCCCATGGATCAGCTGGGATTTAGCTCCTTTTGGCAGCCCGGTCCTTTGGGTGTTGTCACCCAGGTCATGGTGGCTGTGTCCCCTGCTCTGTGTCCCTGTCCCACATTCCTTCCTTCCATGCAGCTGACCTGTGGAATTCAGTCTCTTTTGGGGCACCGTTGTTATATCCATTTAAAAAACGGCCCAAATCCTCAAAATTTGGGGGGTTTTTTTTGAGTGTTCCCACATTGGATTTTTCCATATGTGCCAACACCTGTGGATGCTGATCCTGCCATTCCCACAGCACCTGTACAGCATCCACCTGGCCGACCAGGCTGAGGACTGCACCCTGCAGCTGGCTGACCACATCAAGGTGAGTGGGGACAACCCTTCTCTGATCCCTCTTTTCCACCTTTGTGTCCCCCAGGATCCCTGTGGGAGGGGAGGTGCCCCTGCTGCCACTCCCCAGAGCAGCCACTCTTCCCTAGTGGTGGCACTGGGGTCAGGGAATGGGGACATGGAAGAAGAGCAGGAATGGGAGTGTGAAGACCCTCATGTCACGGGGTGGGGGTTGTATCCTGGATTTCCCAAGGGAAGAGCCAGCGTCCTGCACCCCCTGGATAAAACCAAAATAGACCAAAAATAGCCTGACTGCCTCAGCCAGTTTCCCTGCTCCTGAGAACCCTGGGGTCGTGTCAGGGTCCATCCTGGAATTCCTGGGACTGAAGCCCCAGAGTGCCCTGGGACCCCTCCTGTCCCTGTCCCTGTCCCTGTCCCTGTCCTGAGGGTCCCTGTGCCTGTCCCTACAGTTCACCCAGAGTGCCTTGGACTGCATGGGGGTGGAGGTGTGCCGGCTGCGGGCCTTCCTCCAGGTAGGATCTTCCTCCAGGTAGGATCTTCCTCCAGGTAGGATCTTCCTCTGAGTAGCACCTGCCAGGATGGCTGGGCACGTGCCAGCTTCCTGCTGTCCCCGTGTCCCTCTGAGATCCCTTCTTGTCCCTCTCTCTGAGGTCCTTCCCTGTCTCCATGTCCCTCTAGTATCCTGCTCTCTCCTTGTGTCCCTCTGAGGTCTCTCTCTGTCTCTGTGTCTGTCAGAGGTCCCTCTGTGTCCCCATGTCCCTCTGTCTCTGTGTTCCTCTGAGGTCCCTCCATGTCCCTCTCTCTCCCTGTGACCTTCTGAGCTCTCTCTGTGTCCCCACGTCCCTTTGTGTCCCCATGTCCCTCTCTTCTCGTGTCCCTCTAAGGTCCCTCTCCCTTTGTCCCTCTGAGGCGCCCTCTGTGTAAATTCCCTTTGTGTCCCCATGTCCCTTGGTGTCCCCGTGTCCCTCTGTTGCCATGTCCCTCTGAGATCCGAGTCCCTCTGTCCCCGTGCCTCTCCCTGTCTCTGTGTCCCTCTGAGGTCCCTCTATGTCTCCATGTCCCTGTGTCCCCGTGTCCCTCTGAGATCCGAGTCCCTCTGTCCCCGTGCCCCTCCCTGTCTCTGTGTCCCTCTGAGTCCCCCATGTCCCAGTGTCCCTCTGAGGTCCCTGTGTGTCCCCAGGCCGGGCAGGAGGCGGCCGACCTGGCCATCCTGCTCAAGGACCTGGAGACGTCGTGCAGTGACATCCGCCAGTTCTGCAAGAAGATCCGGCGCCGCATGCCGGGCACGGACGCGCCGGGAATTCCCGCAGCCCTGGGCTTCGGAGCGCAGGTGAGCGGGGCAGGGAACCCCTCAGGCACAAACTGGGAGCTGTGGGATGAACTGGGCCGGCAGCAAACACCCTGGGGAAGCTGGGCAGCGGCTCAGGGCACAGGGAAGTGCTGCGAGCTGAGCTGGGATCATGGAATCAAGGATTGGTTTAGGTTGGAAAATCCCTCGGAGATCCCTGAGTCCCCAGCACGAAGGGGGCTAAGGCCATCACGGACCATGTCCCCAAGTGCCACATCCACGTGGATGTTAAATCCCTCCAGGGATAGGGACCTCTCCCTGTCCTGGGCAGCTGTGCCAGGGTGGGACAACCCTTCCCAGGAGGAATTTTGTCAATATCCAACCTGGCACAGCCTGAGGCTGTTCCCTGGGATAAGATCCCAAATCCACCCCCTGGCTGCCCCTCCTGTCAGGGAGTTGTGCAGAGCCAGAAGGTCCCCCCTGAATCTCTGAGGCTGAGCCCCTTTCCCAGCTCCCTCAGCTGCTCCTGGTGCTCCTTTCCTGCCCACAATGGATGTGACACCTGGATTTTATGTTCCCATGCTGGATGGACACCTGGATTCACACTCAGGACCTGTTTTCCCTCCATCTTCCCCTAATTACTGGGGTTACTTCCCCCGGTCCCAGTGACGATCCCGGGGCATGTGTGGATTCCAGGAGCCATGTCTGTGCCATTGCCACTCATCCCACCCTGCCCCGCCCTTCCAGGTGTCGGACACGCTGCTGGAATGCCGGAAGCACCTGACATGGGTGGTGGCCGTGCTGCAGGAGGTGGCAGCGGCCGGGGCTCAGCTGATCGCCCCGCTGGCCGAGAACGAGGGGCTGCCAGCCCCACGCCTCGAGGAGCTGGCCTTCAAAGTCAGCGAGCAGGTGGGACATCCTTCACCGTTCCCAGCTGGAAGGGGTCAGGAAGGCACCCAGGGAATGCCACACGTGTGCCGTGCCTTGCCCTGCGCTGTCCCCGCGGCTCCGTGGCCTCGCTGAGGGGATGTGGAGGGGTTTTGGCAGCTGTGGTGGAGTATCCCATCCATATTCCCACATTCCATAGTGGGGAAGGATCACGGGGAGTTTTTGTAGAGAGAGGAAATGTCCCCCCCTGAGCATCCTTTTCACCAGGCTGAGCCCCCTCAGCTCTCCAGAGCCTTTTCCATCTCTTTCCCTGGACACAATGGATGTGGTGTCTCCAGATTTTTTGGTGTAATTATGGTGAAAGGACAAGGGGTGGATTTTATGTAAATCGTCCACTTCTGTTAGGTGTTACTTTGATTTTTGTGTGTGGAATTTTTTGCATTTTGTTGGTTGGATTTGTTGATGGAAGTGAAGGTTTTGGGTTGGATGCGGATTTTAAGATTGGATGATTCTTAAACATCAGAGGGACATTTTAAACATCAGAGGAGCATCTTAAATATCAAATAACATCCTTAAATATCAGAGGGACACCCTTAACCATGAGAGGGACACCCTTAAACATCAGAGGAGCATCTTAAACATCAAATAACATCCTTAAATATCAGAGGGACATCCTTAACCATCAGCAGGAAACACCAGTTACAGGATGTGGGTTGGGGGCTGTGAGCCCAGCCCAGGGCCACCAGCCAGGTCCTTCCCTGTAACTGTGGTAAGATTTACACTACTTAATTAATAATTTATCCCAATCTCTTCTACTTTCACTCAAAACCAAAATTAATAAATATACACAATAAAAACAAATTTTCTCATATTCAAACTTAATTATTTATTACATCTTATAAAAAATACAAAACGTTCAACAACACTTCTAACTACCTACTGAAAACAAAAAAATAAAATCCAACTACTACAAAATCTCTTAAAACTAAACAATCCAATAAAAAATTAACACCTATATTATTTATCCTTTTAACCTAATAACTAAATTCCCATAACCCTCAATGTAACACTAACTAACCAACCAAAAACTTCTACTTAAAAACCCGTCAAAAAAACAAAAAGCAACCCCCCACCACCCAAAATCCTCCATCTTACCTCATACCTATTATTATAGTATAAAAACCTCAAAGTTAAAACCCTTTACCATATAAAACCACACACTTCTATGTATCTGCACACCCATCATTTTAACTTCATCACTCAAATTTAAAAACCTTCTCCAAAACCTCCAATCAAAACCAATATTCTCCAAAAAAATCAATACCTAACGACACAAAAAAAACCCTCAAACACCCCAAATCTCTAAAATCCAATTTTTCCTTCCCAGATTTACGGCTCCCAGGGCATCAATCCCTACGAGTGCCTGCGCCAGTCCTGCAGCATCCTCATGGCCACCATGAACAAAATGGCCACGGCCATGCAGGAGGGCGAGTACGACGCCGACCGCCCGCAGAGCAAGGTGGGGTGGGCTCTCTTCTGTCACTGCCCAGGGTCACCAGGAGGCTCTGGGTGACCAGCACGGGGATTTGGGCAGCTGTGGTGTCTGGGATTGTTCCTAAATTCCCGATTGTCCCGCTGGTCCAGCCCACGCCGCCGGCGGAGCTCCGGGCGGCCGCGCTCAGGGCGGAGATCACGGATGCTGAGGGGCTGGGGCTGAAGCTGGAGGACAGGGAGACGGTCATCAAGGAGCTGAAGAAATCCCTCAAGATCAAGGTGAGGTGTTTCTCACTGATCCCTGCCTTCCTGGCTCCTCCTCACTGATCCCAGCCTGTCCCTCACCCATCCCAGCCTGTCCCTCACCCATCCCAGCCTGTCCCTCACCCATCCCTGCCTGTCCCTCACCCATCCCTGCCTGTCCCTCATCCATCTCCACCTCCCTGGCTGCTGTGGGATTCACCTCCACACTCCAGGTGACTTCCTACCTTGAGATGCTGCTCCCAAGCCCCATCCAGATCTCCTGGGAATGTTTTTCCCGTGGGCAGGGAGATGCTGCCCTTCAGATCTTGCCCCCACAGTGTTCTGGGTTGTGCAGGGTGGGAGCTGGGAGCTGTTGTGGGTTCCAGCCCTGGGTGCTGTGGGTGATTTGGAGCCTCCCTGCCGCTCCAGGGCGAGGAGCTCAGCGAGGCCAACGTGCGGCTCAGCCTCCTGGAGAAGAAACTGGACAGCGCATCCAAGGACGCCGATGACCGCGTGGAAAAGATCCAGACCAAGCTGGATGAGACCCAAACTCTGCTCAAAAAGAAGGAGAAGTGAGTTTGGAGTGGGGCTGGGGGTGTGAAGCTGGTGGAGCTCATCCAGAGGAAGCCACAGAGCTGCTCCAAGAGTTGGATTCTCTCCATTCCTGGGAATGTTCACCTGGAGAAGGGAAGGCTCCAGGGAGAGCTCAGAGCCCCTTCCAGAGCCTAAAGGGGCTCCAGGAGAGCTGGAGGGGGACTGGGGACAAGGCATGGAGGGACAGGATAAGGAGTCCTGGACAAGCAGCATCCCTGGCCTCCCACATCCCTCTGTGTGCTCTCCCCAGGGAGTTTGAGGAGACCATGGACGCTCTCCAGGCTGACATTGACCAGCTGGAGTCGGAGAAGGTGGAGCTGAAGCAACGCCTGAACAACCAGTCCAAGAGAACGATCGAGGGGCTGCGGGGGGCCCCGGCCTCGGGCGTGGCCTCCATCGTGTCCGGCATCGCTGGAGGTGAGGGACCCTCATCCCTGCAGTGGGGCTGGGGTGTCCTCCTGGCACAGGAGGTCCAGGGGTGATGTGTGCCCAGGAATTTGGGAATGTGCTCCTACAGCAGCTCCTGGCTCTCATGGAGCCACAGCCTCTCCCACATTCCCAGTCCTGGCTTCCAGGAATGTTGCTGGCACATTGTCGTTCCCAAAGGAGCAGGAGCAGCCTGGGAGCTCTGTGCCAAACCCCTGGCTCTGGGGGAGCATTGCAGGGTCACTCCCAGCTGCTGGGAATGGGGAAAGTGGCTGTGGGAGCCCGGAGCTGCTCCAGCCACAGCTCCTCTCCCACCCAATCCGGGGCTTTAATCCTGATTTTTCTTGTCTTTCCTGGCCCCTCTCCCTGTGCTGCAGAGGAACAGCAGCGAGGTATGGACATGCATGCAGCCCCCAGTGCATGGGGGGACATGAAATCCCAGGACACCCAAACCCTGGGATGTGGCTCAGTTTGGGACCTGGAGAAGGATCCAGGTCCTGTTTGGATGCTGCTGACCCTGGAGGCTCCAGAGGGGTTGGGAAGGGAGGAATGAGCATGGAACTGTAGGGTGACCCCCACCTGGAGAGCCTTGGGAAGGGGCACTGGGAGCTGGTGAGACTTCTCCAGGGAGGTGCCAGGTGTTGGTGACAGCACGCCTGTCCCTGTGCCACTGTCACACTGCTGATGGCAGTGCCAGGTGTTGGTGACAGCACACTGTGTCCCTGTGCCATTGTCACACGCTGATGGCAGTGCCAGGTGTTGGTGACAGCACACTGTGTCCCTGTGCCATTGTCACACGCTGATGGCAGTGCCCCTGTGCAGGTGTTGGTGCCGGGCAGGTGCCGGGAGGTGGCTCTGGCCCCGTCCAGGTGAAGGATTCACCTCTGCTGCTCCAGCAGATCGACGCCTTGCAGCTCTCCCTGAAACACCTCAAGAACGAGAACAACCTGCTCAAGGTCAGGGGGAATGGGGTGTGATCCTGTGGGATGGGATCCATTTGGGATGTGTTCCCTGTGGGATGTAGGATGAGCTGGAGAACAGGCTCTCATCTGGAGGGCCCCAGGGGAAGGGGCTGTGAGCAGGGTCAGCACTGGGAGCTGGCAATGCTGGGGGAACTGGGGGAACTGGGGGTGCTGGTGATGTCCCTGCCAGCCCCGGTCCCCTCAGTGCAGAACTTGGCACAACCTGATTGATGCCTTAATTGATTAATGAACACCCCATGGGGCACAGCAGCAGATAATCCAATTAACCAGCTATTATAATGGATATTAATTCATGGATGGGATGGAGCAGCTCATTAACAGCTCTGAAATCCAAAGTGTCACTTCCCATGGATGTCCCAGGGCTTCCCTGAGGATTCTCCCTGCCAGATATCCCCTGCTTTTCTCCTTTCATCCCATTTCCATCTGGCCTCTCCTCCCCGCTGCTTTTTCCTGCCGTTTCCCCCATTTCCCATGTCCCTAACTCCCGTTTCCCACGGACCCCAGGGTGCCCAGATGAAGATGGAGCTGGCCAGCCTGGCCCCTCTGCAGGTGCCACGGGTGGCCGTGGCCCGGGAGCGCCCGGGCGAGGGGCTGCCCACGCAGAGCCTCTACCGCAAAACCACGCAGCTCCTGGAGACCCTCTACCAGCTCAGTGCCAACGCCAAGGTGGTGGACATGAGGCAGAGCAAATCCAGTAGGTCCTACAGAGATGTTCCTTTGGGATTTGGGGGGGTTGTGGCACCACAGAGGGACTGGCAGCAATGTGGGGTGGGATCCAGGGTGAGGGCTCTGCTCTGGTGGCAGGTTTGGGGTGTTTGGGTTGAAGGGGGACAGCCCTGTGTCCCCCCCAGTGTCCATCCCTGTCCCCCTCAGGGCCATTGGTGTGTTGGGGACACAACAGTGTCCAGAGGCTGAGCTGCTCTGGGGTGGCTCAGCCTCTCCCTGCTGGGGAGGCCCCCAAGCCCCTGAAACCCCCCTGGTACTAACCCAAGGAGGTTAAACCTTCCCCAGACCCACCGGGGGAGGTCCAAACCCCCTGAAATCCCCTGGTACCGGCCTGAGGAGATCAAACCCACCCAGTACCAACCTGAAGAGATCAAACCCCCCCAAAACCCACCCAGTACCAGCCAGAGGAGGTAAAAACTCCCCAAAACCCAGCCTGTACCAACCTGAGGACATCAAATCCCCCAAAACCCACCTGGTACCAATCTGAGAAAGTCAAACCCCCCCAAAACCCACCTGGTACCAACCTGAGGAGATCAAACCCCCCAGACCCCCAGGTAGTGACCCGAGGGGGTCACAGCTGCCCCGCTGTGTCCGTGTGCCCCATTGCTCATCCCTCCCTTCCCGTTGTTCACAGCGAGGAGCTCGTCAGCGCGGCTGCTGGAGCAGACAGCCCGGCTCTGCGCCCTCAAGAACTCCATCGACGCCCTCAAGGTGAGCAAGGGTCTTCTCTGGGGTGGGGGACCTGGTGACACCCCCAGCCCAGCCCTCCAGAGCGCCAGGTTGGGGCTGGTGGCACCTGGTGGCAGTGAGGGGACAAGGTGCTGCTGGCCATTCCCAGTCACAAAAAAGTTGGGTTTGACCCCTCTGCCTTGTGCTCAGGGTGGGTAAGGAGTCCGTGGGGTGGGTGAGGGGCTCTGGGGGGTGACAGTGGTTCCCATGGGGTGGATTTTGGGGTGACCTTGCTGTGCCCCCCAGGACGACACGCTGAGGGAAATGGTTCAGCAGCAGCCGGGTGCCGGTGTCTCCACCACCTTTGGCACCTTCCCGTCCTCTTCCTTCCTAAAGGTGAGAACCCGGTCCTGAGGGAGCCCCAGTCCCGAGGGACCCCAATCTTGAGGGACCCCCATCCCAAAGGAGTCCCCCAGTCTCGAGGGACTCCCATTCCTGAGGGAGCCCCGATTCCAAGAGGTGCCAATAACAAAAAAACCCCATTCCTGAGGGCTCCCCAATTCCAAGGGACCCTAGTCTCAAGGAACCCCCTATCCTGAGAGACCCCAATCTCAAGGCACCCCTTATCCTAAGGGACCCCAGTCACAAGAAATTCCCATTCCTGAGGGGCCCCAATCAATCCCAAAGGACCCCTTTCCTGATCCCAAATTTCAAGGGACCCCCTGTTCTGACAAAACCCAATCCCAAGGGATCGGGCGGGTGAGGACCCCCTGCTCCACCCCAGCACCCCATGACCCACAACAGACACCAGGTCCCATCCCAGGTGACCCTTGGGGACCCCCGGGAGAGCAGGGGGTGGCCCGGGGACACTCTGAGCGCGGCGCTGTCCCCGCAGGCCAAGCAGGAGCAGGCGCAGGGCCCGGCGCTGTGCGGGCGGGTCACGATCCCGTGCGCGCCGGGGCACGGCCAAGCCCACCGGGTGCTGCTCACCCCCGACCTGCTCCAGCACCTCCGGCAGCACTTCGTCGCCTGAGCCGCCCCCGAGGGACCCCCACCCCGCTGTCCCCTCCCATGGGACTCTCCGCTTCTCCCCCACCCTGGCCCCATTCGTGGGTGGGAGCTGGAGCCGCTTCCCCCGGGGGGATCCGGGCCCCCCGCGCTGCTCTCGGACACTACAGAAACCCACACCCCGTGCTCCTGGCATCCAATAAAACTTCCCTGGATGTGCTTCCTGCGCTTGGAGCTGGGCACCGGGGCGGGGACACTGCGGGGACACAGGAGGGGATTGAGGGGGGACACGAGGGGCTTCGGGTGGGAACGGGGGAGCAGAAAAAGGGACTGGGAGGGCACTGGGGGCTAACGGAGAGGGACTGGGGGGTCACAGGAGGAGACTGAGAGGACCCCGAGGGTCACAGAGAGCCCCAGGACGGACCCACGGGAACGTCTGGGGATCCTGGGATCGCACCGCGAGACATTTGGCGGTCCCGGGTGGGACGAGGGGGACACTTGGAGGGCACTGAGGGTCCCAGGAGGGAATCGGGAGAGTTCTGGGACCCCGGGAGGAGACACGGGGCCATTTGGGGGTCCCGGGATGGCACCGGGGGGACATTTGGGGATGGCGGGTCTCGCCACGTGCGGCCGCGCGCGCCCCGAACAACGCGGGAAGGGGCGAGGCCGGAGCGCGCGCGCGGGGCTCCCATTGGCCGGCGCGCAGGAAAAGGCGGGAGGAAACGCCCCCTCTCGGCTCTGATTGGCCGGCACCGCCCAGGGGGCGGGGTCAGCGTATTCTCTTCCTGATTGGCTGCGGGGCGGGCCCATCGGGGGCTGTCCTCTGTGATTGGCTGAGGGAGCGGCGCAGTGGGCACTGATTGGTGGAGGTGGGAGGAGAGGAGATTCCGGCGAGGACACGACGTCAGTTCCGGGCGGCGGCGGCGGCGGGAGGACGATGGTGAGTGAGGGACGGGCCGGAGCTGCATCCGACGCCATCGGGAGTAGGGGGAGGCCCAGGAGCCTCCTCCGACAGCATCGGGACGGGCCGGGACAGGAGGGAGGCCGGGGGAGCCGCATCGAGCCGGGCCGGGCGCTCCGGCGGGGCGGCGGGAGCGGGGATGGGCGGGAGCGGGGCCCCGGTGCCGCCCTCGGTGAGCGGAGCCTCCGGTGCCGCAGGTGCTGCTGCACGTGCTGTTCGAACATGCGTCCGGGTACGCGGTGTTCGCCGTGCGAGAGGTGGAGGAGATCGGCCTGCAGCTGCCGCAGGTACGACAATGGCAACGGGGGGAGCGGGGATTGTGAGGAACGGGAGGGTAGGGGAGGCTGGGAACGGAGTGGGGGAGGACGGGAGCGGAGATCGGGAGGATGGAGGGAGGAGACCACAAACAGGGACCGGGGGCTGCGAACGGGGAGAGGTGGAAGGGGTCGGGGCGAGGGGGAAAGCGGCGGGGAAGGCCCGGGAGTGGTCGCGCTCCAGGGATTGTTCCCCGTGCCCGGGTGTGACCGGAGCCCCCCGGTTCCCCCCCGCCGCAGGTGGAGGAGAGCGTCCTCACGCTCGGCAAGTTCCTCAACATGGTGAAGCTCGTGGCGTTCTCGCCGTTCCGCTCGGCGCAGAGCGCGCTGGAGAACATGAACGCCGTGTCCGAGGGTGAGTGCAGGGCCGGGGCACCGGGATCCCCCTCCCCCGGTGACCCCCGGGCCCCCTGACCCCTCCGTGTCCCGCAGGAGTCCTGCACGAGGACCTGCGGCTGCTGCTGGACACGGCGCTGCCCCCCAAGAGGAAGAAGGTGGTGCTGGGGGTGGGCGATGCCAAGATGGGCGCGGCCGTGCTGGAGGAGCTGGGGGTGCAGTGCCAGACCGGGGGCGTCGTGGCCGAGCTCATGCGCGGTGAGTGGGGACAGAGGGGACATCTCGGGGGGGTCCTGGGTTAGTTGGGATTGAACTGGGAGGGGTGAGGGAGGGGGGCTGGGAGCCGTTGCTGTGAGGTGTCCCTAGGGATGCACGTGGTGGCATCTCAGTGTCCATGTGGTGACACCGTGTCCCTGCAGGGATCCGGCTGCACTTCCCGGCGCTGGTCCGGGGCCTCACGGCGCAGTCGGCGGCCAAGGCCCAGCTGGGGCTCGGCCACAGCTACTCCCGGGCCAAGGTGAAATTCAACGTGCACCGGGTGGACAACATGATCATCCAGTCCATCAGCCTGCTGGACCAGCTGGACAAGGACATCAACACCTTCTCCATGCGTGTCCGGTCAGTGGGGACAGGTCTGGGGGGGTTTAAAGGGTCTTGGGGTTGGTGGGGACAGATCTGGGGGGGGTTTAAAGGGTTTTGGGGGTCCCTCCTCCCCATGCTTACCACAGGCAGCCGCCGCTGCTCCGACTGCCTGTACAGACCGGGGAGGGATAGCAGCTCCCCAAGGGCCACTGGCCGGGCCACAGGGCCACGGCCTGGACCGGGGGGGACATTTGGGAACGTGGTGGGGTGGCCTGGGGATACACACAGAGCTGTGGTGGGGCCCGGCTGGCCCCAGTGACCGTGTCCCTGTCCCTGCAGGGAGTGGTACGGCTACCACTTCCCCGAGCTGATCAAAATCGTCCCCGAGAACGCCATGTACTGCCGGGTGGCCAAATTCATCGGGAACCGCCGGGAGCTGAGCGAGGAGAGCCTGGAAGGGCTGGAGGAGATCGTCATGGACAGCGCCAAGGCCCAGGCCATCCTGGAGGCCTCGCGCTCCTCCATGGGTGAGAAAGGCTCTGAGGGGCTCAAGGGGGGCCTGGCCACGTGTGGTCAGTGCTGCCACTCATCCCTTGCCACCCCCAGGGATGGACATCTCCCCCCTGGACCTCATCAACATCGAGAGCTTTTCCCGCCGCGTCATCTCGCTGTCCGACTACCGCAAGGGGCTGCAGGAGTACCTGCGCTCCAAGATGAGCCAGGTGGCCCCCAGCCTGTCAGCCCTCATCGGGGAGGTGGTGAGTGTCCCTAAGAGCCCCCGTGTCCCCTCCCCAGCCGCGGAGATGATGTCAGAGTGAATCTGTCAATCCACTGAGTCGTGCTGCTGACACTTCCACTGCTGATCCCCGGCCTGCAGAGGACTCTGTGTGCCCTTGGGGGCTTCAGGGCCATCTGTAATCCCCCCGTGTGCTGTCCCCCAGGTGGGTGCCCGCCTCATCTCGCACGCTGGCAGCCTGACCAACCTGGCCAAGTACCCGGCGTCGACGGTGCAGATCCTGGGTGCCGAGAAGGCGCTCTTCAGGTACCCCGGGGCGGTCGCGGTGATGGCGGGCGCGCGGCCGCGGCTGTGACTCGCTGGGGGTGAGCAGCCGGCCCAGTCTGAGCGACCCCCGGAGCACAGCGGGCTGGGGAGGGGCTGTTCGTGGGTGGGGGCTGCATTCAGGGGTCCTGACCCCCTCCCCTGGCCCCTGGCAGGGCGCTGAAGACGCGGGGGAACACCCCCAAGTACGGCCTCATCTTCCACTCCACCTTCATCGGGCGCGCGGCCGCCAAGAACAAGGGGCGGATCTCGCGCTACCTGGCCAACAAATGCACCATTGCCTCACGCATCGACTGCTTCTCAGGTGGGTCTGGGGGCACAGGCATGGCCAGAGTGGGCACTGTCACCTGGTGGGCACTTCGGGGACATTGGGGGCCGCTCTGCCGTGATGGGAACATTTTTCGTCAACAGCATCTCACCCCGCGTGAATGGTGACTCCTCTGGGCTGAGCAGAGCACGGGGGGGACTCTGGGGGGGTTTGGGGGTGCAGGGTCAGTGCTGAGCCCCCCCTGTCCCCTCCCTGCAGAGGTCCCCACCAGTGTCTTTGGGGACAAGCTGCGGGAGCAGGTGGAGGAGCGCTTGGCCTTCTACGAGACCGGGGAGCCGCCCCGCAAGAACCTGGAGGTGATGAAGGAGGCCGTGGTGGAGGTGAGGAGGAAGAGGAGGTGGGGATGCTGAGGGATGAAGAAGAGTGGCGAGGGTGACAAGTGGAGGCAGTGGGAGAGATGGAGGAGGAGGTGAGGTCTGGGGGGAGATTAAGGTGATGGAGGTGAGGTGCTGGAAAGGTGAAGAAGGTGACGGAGGTGTGGGGCTGAGATGAAAACGATGGAAGTGGCGGTGGGGTGATGAAGATGATGGAGGTGAAGGGGGAGATGAAGAGGGCAGTGATGAGATACCAGGGGATGAAGATTGTGAATGGGAGGGGCTGGGGGCAGTGAAGGTGGGGGAGGTGATGAAGACGATGGTGAGGTGCTGGGAGGGATGAAGGTGAGATCCTGTGGTGATGAGGATGATGCTGAGGTGCTGGGGGATGAAGGTGAGGGCCCGTGTCGGAGGTGATGTCACTGTGCCATCCTGACCCACTGTGGAGGCCAAAGACTGATTTAATGAGTCTGATCCGACCAGTGCCGCGTGTGGGGACAGACCCTGGGCCCCTCCCCTCGCTCATGTCCCCCGTGTGTGTCCCCAGGCCAACGAGGTGGTGGCTGAGGTGAAGAGGAGGCAGGAGAAGAAGGAGAAGAAGAGGAAGAAGAGGGAGAAGCGGCGGCTGGAGGCCCTGGCAGCGGCTGCTGAGGAGCAGGAAGAAAACTCAGTGATGGAGACAGAGGTGAGGGGGGATGGGGTGGGACACTTTTGGGGGGACCTGGATGCTCCCGATGCCGGGGAGGGAGGGTCCCTGGGCCCTGTGAGGGGTCAGAGCTGATGTGGGGCTCTCCCCACAGGAGAATGACGTGGGGGCCAAGAAGAAGAAGAAAAAGAAGAAGCAGCAGCAGCCAGAGGAGTCAGAAGCAGAGCCCGAGGAGAATGGGGTGGAGGAAGAAGAGGAGGAGGAGGAGGAGCCATTGCCCAAGAAGAAAAGGAAAGTCATGGTGGAGCCTGAGCAGCAGGAGGAGGAGGAGGAGGAGGAAAAGAAGAAGAAAAAGAAGAAGAAGAAGAAGGCAGCGGCTCAGGACTCAGACGAGGATTAGGGAGCAGAGTTGGGTCAGCACACGGACTGACAGACTGACGGACAGACAGGCACTGGGAGCGGCCACTCGCTGTTCCCAGCTGTGTCCTGTGGCACAGTGGCCACCTGGACTGGGTCACAGCCCCCTCGTGGTGGCCTGGGTGAGTCCCTCTGGCCACCAGCGGCCCTCGGACTGTGCCTTACACAGCGGAACTTCCAACCCTCTGTCCCCTTCCTGGGGGGCTCAGGCTGCGTGGGGCTGTCCCCAGGCCGTGTCCCCTTCTTCCCTGGGGACCCTGGGCTGTCCCCAGGCCGTGTCCCCGTCCCTGTGCAGGGGGACAGGCCCCGCTCGCGGTGCCCAAACCCCAATAAAGGGCTGAGGTTGTTGCTGATCCCTCCTGTCGTGCTCCGTGGCAGGGGGTGGCCAGGCTGTCCCCACAAAGGGTCACCCTGTCACCAGCAGCCTGCCCGGGCCGAGGGACACGACACAGTCACGCCTGAGGCCACTTTATTGGAGTCACCAGGGGCAGGGGTGAGGCCACTACACCTCCAGGGCATCAATCACGGCCTGGGTGAAATCCATGGAGGTGGAGTAGCCCCCCATGTCCGCCGTGCGCACCTGCAAGGAGACGGGAGGTTAGGGACGAGGAGGGGTTGGGGACAAGGAGGGGACCTGCAAAAGCGGGGTCCCCCCGGCCCCCACCTGGGCCGTGGCACTCTGGGCTTGGCTCTCTGGAGCCTTCAGCACCCCCAAAAGTGTCGCTGTGTTTTGGGGCTGGTGGCCCCCTCTGCCCCACAGCAGCACCCCGGTTTGGTTCAGGCTCTGGTTTCAGCATTTCCTCCCCAGTTCAGCACCCCAAAAGCTGCCCCGGCCCCCCCAAGGCTGTGAGGTCCCCCCAGGCCAGGGAGGGAAGCGTTGGACCCTTTATTAGCAAAGCAGGATTACAGAGTACGACACGATGGCACAGCCCCAGAGCCCCGGGCTGGCACCAGGCCTGTCCCACAGGGCACAGGGATTATGGGATCAGCCCTGGAACTCCCCAATTCCCACGGGATCGGGGGCACAGAGTGCAGCTCCCCCACCCTGCCCCAGTTCTGGAGTGTTCCAGGGTCACCTCATGCCTGGAATTGTCCCTGCATGGGGGCCCTGTGCCAGCAGCTGCCACGGGGGTGGAGGGTGGGGGATGTCACCCTGGTTATTGCTAAAAGCTGGATGAGATGGGAACAGGGAACAGAGATCCCACAAATCACACTGGTCCCACAGGAATGGGGTTCCCACATTCAAGAGGATCCTATGGGAATGGAGGTCCCATAATTGTCCCATGAGAATCCCAAAAACCACGCTGGTCCCACAGTCACAAGGATCCCAAAAGTGGGGATCCTGCAGTCACAGGGATCCCATGAGAATGGGGGGTCCCAGTCAGAATTCCTGTTCTCACAGAGATCCCAAATCCCATTGGTCTAACAGTCAACAGTGATCCCATAGGAATGGGGATCCCACAATCACAGGATTCCCATGGGACTGGGATCCCACAGTCAGAGTTGCTGTTCTCACAGGGATCCCAAATCCCATTGGTCCCACAGTAGTGATTATCCAGTAAGGGGGATCCCGTGGGAATGGGGGTCCCAGAACCACGGTGGGTGGTCCCAACGTCCTTAGGAGCTGCCTTTGAGTTTGGGGCACTGCCCCATCCCCCCAAACCACCCCAGTGAACCCCAAAATCCGCACTGGCCACTTCCATGGAATGATCCCTGCTGGGGATGGGGTAGGGAAAGGATTCCTGGGGTTACTGGGGCACCCCCCTGCCTGGGGGGGCAGGGAGGGGATTTGGGGAGGGGCTGAGGCGCTGGGGGAGCTGCTGGGGGCCCTAAGCCCCATAGTGGGGGTGCAGGTTGTCAATGACGGACTTGACGAAGTCAGAGGTGGTGGAGTAACCGCCCAGGTCCCGAGTCCGGACCTGCAAATCCAACACAGGGAGGGAGGGGAAAAAACGGGGGAAAGGCGGCGGTGAATGGAGAGAACGGGCTGGGACAGGGACAGGACAGGAGGGGGAGAGAGAGAGGGACCCTCCAGAGCCCTGCCAGGAGCTGGGAATGGGGCTGTGGAATGTCCCTGAGAATCCCTGCCAGGAGCTGGGGCCGTGGAACCATCCCTGAGAGCCCCGCCAGGACACAAATGGGGACAGGGCCATGGAGGATCCCCCAACCCTGCCAGAAAGTCCCTCCCTCGCCAGGACATGACCACAGGGGCTGGACACAGCTGTGGGGCTGGGGTTGGAGCTGGAGAGAGGAAAAGAAACAGAATTGCAGCTGGAGAGAAGAGAGGAACCAGAATTGCAGCTGGAAAGAGGAGAGGAGCCACAATTCCAGCTGGAGAGAAGAGAGGAACGAGAGAACGTGACACCAGCCCTACCCACTGCCCCACACTCACTTTGCCACCTTTGATCACCTTCTTCACTGCATCTGAGACCATGTTGGAGTGATATTCCAGGCTGGAAAACAGGGGGAAGCAGGGGGTCAACCCCTCAGGATCCCCCCCAAAACCCCCCCAGGCCCTCAGAATGCCCCCCAAGCCCCCCTCAGAGCCCAGCACGTACTTGAGGTGCCGCAGCATGTTGGAGGCCGAGAGCAGCATGGCCGTGGGGTTGGCGATGTTCCTGCCCACGGCCTGGGCAAAGGGGTGCCGGGCTCCCTGTGGGACACAGGGCAGGGTGACAGGGACATCCCAGCCTGACAGATTTGGGATTTTCCCTCTGGAATCCCCTGTGGGATTCCCCTCCTCTGTCTTAGGTTGCAATACAGGATGTGACCAGAAGTTTGTATTCTGTCACCAGCTGTTAAAACCAGCTGGGGCAGTGATCCTGATCTCTGTGGGAGATATTCTCTGCTAATGGAACATCTGTCAAACAGCTGGGGCAGTGTTCTTTATCTTTTCCACAACCCATCCTTCCTGCAGGAGATATCTCCTGTTAATGGGCCATGGAGTCCCAGGGCATGGCTGATCAAATTCCATCATCCCATTGGGTCCCACTAATAATTAACTGATAAAATTCCATCATCCCATTGGGTCCCATTAATTAAATGATAAAATTCCATCATCCCATTGGGAGATGCTCCACCCAGGGGGAGGAACCAAGCCTTTCCTGCCCAGATAAAATCTGAGGTTTGGAACACCAGGGCAGCCTTTTCCCACTGGATCCCAGAGGAAAACTGGAACTTTCCACATCATCACTGGACCTGGGGAGGAAAACTGCACCTTCTCCAGGAGCCCTGCTCCAGCAGAGCCACATCTGTCACTGCAGGAGGATGCAGCCACCATGGAATGGGACTGCACCAACCCCTGACTGACTGACGGGGTCAGCTTGGATTCTCACTCCGGCAGTGTTTTGGGTTTGCTCTCTGTAATACTGCATTTCTATTCTAATTTTCCTACTAAAATACCATCATTCCTATTCCCACACCTTTACCTGAGAACCCCCCTTTCATTCCAAAATTTAGAGGGAGGCTGTGGGGGGTTCACATTGCCCATTTCAGGCTCCTGCCTCTCTTGGCACACCCCCCTGTTCCAAGCCCAGCCCTGCTCACCAGCTCGAACACGGCGTACTCGGCGCTGTAGCTCTCGCCGGGCACAACGCCGGCGCCGCCCACCAGCCCCGCTGCCAGATTGTCCACGATGTTCCCGTACAGGTTGGGCATCACCAGCACGTCAAACTGGTAGGGATTCTGCACCAGCTGGGGTTGGGAATGGGGAATGGGGAATGGTGAAGGTTGGAACAGATTGGGGGGAAGCTCAGCCCCACACCCGGGACAGGACGGTCAAGGGGTGTCCAACTCAAATTCCAGGATTTTGTGCTTGGCGCGGCAGCCTGGAGCAGCAGTGATGTGATTGGGGGAGGGTTTAGGGATTGAGGGGAGGTTTTAGGGTTATAAAGAGGAAGTTTTAGGGCTTGAAAAGGAGATTTTAGGGATTGAAAAGGAGATTTTAGGGATTGGAAGGGAGTTTTAGGGATTGAAGGGGAGTTCTTAAGGATTGAAGAAAGGGAGTTTTTAGGGATTGAAGGGGAGTTTTCAGGGAGGTTTTAGGGCTATAAAGAGGAAGTTTCAGGGATTGAAAAGGAGATTTTAGGGATATAAAGGGAGCTTTCAGGGATTGAAGGGGAGGTTTTGGATATAAACGGGAGTTTTTAGGGATTGAAGGGGAGTTTTTAGGGCTATAAAGAGGAGGTTTAGGGATCGAAAAGGAGTTTTTAGGGATTGGAAGAGAGTTTTTAAGGATTGAAGAAGGGGAGTTTTTAGGGCTATAAAGAGGAGGTTTAGGGATCGAAAAGGAGTTTTTAGGGATTGGAAGGGAGTTTTTAAGGATTGAAGAAGGGGAGTTTTTAGGGCTATAAAGAGAAGGTTTGAGGCATTGAAAAGGAATTTTTAGAGATGTGAAGGGGAGTTTGTGGATAAAAAGGGGAGTTTTTAGGGATTCGAGTTTTTAGGGATTGAAGGGGAGTTTTTATGGATATGAACACACACAGCCCCAGTGAGGCTGCAGGAACCCAGGTCCCCCAAACTCCCCCAGGGAGCAGCACTGGGATGGCCCTGGATCCACAGGCTGAGCAGGGCCAGGTGAGACAGAGCTGGGAATGCTGGGAATTCTGGGAATGCTGGGAGGGCTCCTGCCTGGCACGGGGTTTGGAGGTTCCAGCTCCTCAGGGAGCAGCAGCAGGGGGGTGAGAAGGGGACAGGGATGGGGACACACCCAGGGGTGTGGCCTAGGGGCGTGGCCAGCCCAGGGGTGTGGTCAGGTGGGGCGTGGCTCACCTGCATGCAGCAGTTGTCGATGATCATGGTGTCAAATTTGATTTTGGGGTACAGCTCAGCCACCTCCTTACAGCACTGCAGGAACAGCCCATCCCCCAGCTTCCTGTGACAGGGAACACCAGGAAGGGTTGGGGGAAATCCCAGAGGCTGCAGGGATCCACAGCACCTGGGATCTGTGACATCATTTGGGGCCCCCCATCCTGTTTTTCCCCCCTCTCTCCCTGATGGGGATTTGTCCCAGTGGGAAGTGTCCAGGTGCTGATCCCAGAGCTCGGGATTCTGCAGGAATGACCCCACAGTGACCCCCCAATCCATGGGGAGAGGTGACAGGGTTGGTTTTTCTGTAGAAGCTGCACTGGGAATATCTGGACACTGATTCATCAATAAATCTGATCAGCAGCAGCTCCAGAGTCAGAGGCAGCTCAGTCCTGGCTGGGAGCAGAGCGAGGGAAAAGCCCCAACCCCAGGGAAATCCTGGGAGCAGAACAGGATCACAGAATCCTGGAATGGTTTGGGAGGAGAGGGACCTGGAATTTATTGATTCCATGGGCAGGGACAGCTCCCACTGTGCCAGGGGGATCCAACCTGGCCTTGGGCACTGCCAGGGATCCAGGGGCAGCCCCAGCAAATCTGGGAATTGCAGCCCAGGCAGGAATTCCTTCCCAAGATCCCAGCCCAATCTCCCCTTTCCC